ATAAGAGATGAATCAGCCCATGGCCCCATTGCTACAGCTGGCAGACCGAGGCTCACCTCTGTCATGCAAAAAGAAACAACTGCGACAAAAGAAAATGGAATATGGACATCTTATAATGGCCTCAATTGTATTGGATCATATGTTAAACAAAGACTACTGAGGGCTGATGTTGGAAATATATTATCTTAAAAAGAACTGATATTTTCTAAAAACAATCTTTTACTTTCTTTTTTTTTTCCTGACCGGTAACTAGAACAATCTATTACATTCTTTCTTGACCCTCATATTTCTGACTCACGTGATACTGTTGTATTTCCTTATTTAGGCAGAAAAACTTACTTGATAGGGCACTATTGATTAACAATACAAGCATGGTTTGAAAAACCTATTTGAAGATTACACCTCAAATCCCATCTCATGTGAGGCTATCATCCAACGGCAAAAATTCTGCATCTTTAAGGCCATTTGAGAGGCTTATGCCTCAAGCCTGAGACTCAAGCCAATTAAGGTATTTGACTGTTCGCCTTGCATTTTTAAACATTTAATTAAGGGTCTAACTTTTTGAGTTATTTTTTTATAACTTAAAATATTTCACAGGTTCCTATATTTCCCTTTTTCTACCCACACAGAAGGGAAATAGAAAGGAGAATATACCATTGGAATTGGAGAATGAAAAAAATAATAATAATAAAAATTAAAATGAGGATGATGAAGTTAATGATTAAATATCACAATAGTAATGATATAAGAAATTTTTGAGTAGTCATAATTTTGTTACATAATTATTAGTTTGTGAAATTATTTTCTATTTTACGTTTATATACTAGCTTTCTTTGTAATAGATTTTTTCAATGGTATATTACAAGCATATTTTGTGTTTTTATATTTTTTGGATTCTTTTACTATTCTATATTGAGTCTTACGCCTCAAAGTGCCTCATGGCATAAAAAAATAAAACGTCTCAGTACCGATAAAGCCTTTTTAAATATCGAAGACGAGAAAGGGGAGGGATTGGCACTGCTAAATCAAGTATGAGAATATGATGGTGTCTAAAGGAATTACATTATTGGGGGAACGTATTCTACTAAACCCTAACCTTTCAATGTTAACATCTTAGGAAATTTCATATGGTTTTTGTAACTTAGTTTTCTACTTATATAGAATATCAAAATAAAAAGGGGAAATTGTTGATCTACCCAGAGTAAATTAAGTCGGGCCTCAAGTTCTATTCACAATGAAATACAAGCAAATGGTACATCAAAGAGAAATAATGCCAGATTAGTGGCCAAATGACTAAGTGACATATGGGAAAGGCTATCATAGACTGTTGCTCCCATGGAGAAGATGACAACATTGAAGTGTTGTTGTCTTTAGCTGCCGAATTGATAGGTCATGCCAACAATTTGAGGTAAAATATGAATTTCCATGTTGAGACCTAGATGAGGAATATGGAATTACCACCACAAGGAAATCCAACAGAAGTATGGTTTGCATGTAGGAAAAGTCTTCATATGGCCTAAAACAATATCTAGAGCACGTTTTTGGAAAATTCAACAATTCTATGGTAAATTTCAAATATCAATAGAGTCAAAAGGATCATACACTGTTTATAAAACACTTAGAACAAGAGAATGTGACTGTATATTGAGGAAATAAAAAAATGCAGCTCTTATAAAGGAATTTGAGATTAAGAACCCAGGAAACTCGCTCATTAGGAAGTGAATTGAAGTGACTCATTTAAAGAAGGGGATTTTATTTCAGAATAAAAGTATATATAGGATCTCCTGAAGGAAACTGGAATACCCACTGCAAGCCAGCAAATACTACATTGAAGAGAATCATAGAATGGGAGAGAAAGGGATGAGAAGATGGTTGGAAAAGGAACACATCAAAGACTAGTTTGTTATCCCATATCAGACCAAATATAGGCCATGCAGTGAGTTTTGTGAGCCAGATTTTGCATAATCCTCAAGTTACATGGCGGAGTAAGAAATAACTGGTGGTGGCAAGGTCAACAACAGAGGCAGAATTCAAATATATAGATAACAATGTGATAACAAGTCAAACAATTAGCATCACACACAATTTGGTACAACATGATTGCAAAAACAAGTTCAGGTAGATCGGCAGTTTATCAAGTACAAGATAGACACTGGGCTACCACACATAATCTACATTCCCTCTAAGAATCAACTGGCAGCATATTAACAAAGGACTAGCCAGTCAACCTTTCTGGTAAACTTTTCTTGGATGAATGGTTAACCTTCTAGAATAAGTATCACAAGTACTTATCTTAAGATCCACCACACAAACTTAGGAACATAATAATGACCATTATCCAATTCTAAATTCAGAGGCCGGAATGTGATGAATAAGGAAAATTCAATTTAGGTCGAAAATATCATAATGAAGAATGGGGATATATAAAAATAATTAAGCAGACACTGTATAAGATTTTTGACAGGTATAATCTCGCATATAGATGAGCCGAGACTCCTTTTAGCTAAATTTATAAGCTTCAAAGTTTTAAAGAACCATTACAGTCTTTTGTACATTGTCAGGATACAAATAACTATACAAGGGGTTATTCTTACACTAAAATTATTAAGAATTACATTCTCAACACCCTAAATTCTACTAACGCCCCAGCCCCAAAAAAAGGAAAAGATTAAAAACTGGAAAACGGTAAATTGTGAGCAAAGCCATGCTCTATTCCACTGGTATACAATTTTAGATATTAAATAAAAGACAAATATACTTTGAGGCATTAAGCAAAATAAAACAAGGAATTTTTTTTGTGTTCCATATTATATATCGTAAAATACAAATTATGTACGATAAACATAGGTGTGCGAAGAGGGTTACCTGGCGAGAGAAAGGCAAAGGTTGACAAACTCAGCGATTTCGTTTTTAGGGGCGGAGCGGACATGAGTGGCTAAACGATCAGCCACAGCTGCAATACGAAACGAGTTTAAGTGTGAAACATTTAAGGCACTGTTTAGTGCTACTCTGGGGCTGTCGCCGTTCGTTTCAGTTCCGGCCATCGGCGCCGGTGTCACCTCTGTTATTCTTACAGTTTACTCTCCCCCCATTCACCCTGTTCTCAAACTTTCTTTTTTCCTCTTTTTCTATCGAAAAACAGTGGAAATTGGGTTAAATACTCTTTGGAAAAACTTAAGTCACTGTAACCACCCCATATTTCATCATTACCACCCAACTTTATACTTAGCCNTTGGGTTAAATACTCTTTGGAAAAACTTAAGTCACTGTAACCACCCCATATTTCATCATTACCACCCAACTTTATACTTAGCCTCCGTTCGCCCCATTCTCATTTTTCATTTTCATTCTCATTCTCATTCTCATTCTCATTCTTTTTCTTTCTTTTATTTTTAATCACACAAGCTTTTATAAAATAATATTACACATATTTAAAAAAAATTATTATTTTAACCACACATTATTCAAAAAAATATTATTCGAACCATTAAAATTTGACAAGAATGAAGAACAAACGATGGCTTAATGTCATCATGATCATCCAAATTCATGTTTCACCATAACCACCAAACATCTTTTCAACAATTTCACTAATTTTAGCCCCCCATGGGGTGGCCGAGTTGGTAAAATAGGTGAGCGCGGAAACCACACATTATTCAAAAAAATACTATTCCAACCATTAAAATTTGACAAGAATGAGGGACAAACGTTGGCTTAATGTCGTCATGATCATCCAAATTCATGTTTCACCATAACCACCAAACATCTTTTCAACAATTTCACTAATTTTAGCCCCCCATGAGGTGGTCGAGTTGGTAAAATAGGTAAGCGCGGAAATCTTTGATAACGAGTTCGATTCCCCTACCAACACTTTCGCGATCGCGACTGTCGCACAGGACTTACCTAGGACGGTTTACCTGGATAACGTAGTTTACAGACTATTGCGTCAGCCCGAGTTTACCCAGTGAGTACCCAAAAATAGCGGCTACGAGTTCCCCCTGCATAAAAAAATAAAAAATAAAAGATCACTAATTTTAAAAATGAATAACGAGATAACTATGCATTATATATAAAAAATAAATTTAATAAATAATATTAATAAAATAGAAAGTTATTTTAAAAAATAAAATAAAAACTTATTTAGATGGTGTTTGATACTTATTTTTATGGAAAAATGAATTTTAGAATAGTAGATTGATGGAGGATATGAGGATAAAAAATAAGAAAAAAAATTATTTACATGTAATATTATTTTAATGAAGAATGTGTAGTTAAAAAGAAGATAAAGAAAAATATATTTTGATAAAAATGGAAATCAAACAGAGCCTTAAAAAATATTACTTTAAAAAATAAGATAAAAACTTATTTTGAAAAAAGGCTCCTTAAAAAAAAAATGAAATGAAAACTTATCCTAAGTAAAATAAAAGATGCACTAATTATGGCACTGTTTCTATAGAGTCGTGCCCAGTTACTATTTGCCAATTTTTTTCCTTTTTTTAAAAAAACGTTGTACTCCCTTATTGACTTTCAGTCTTTCAAACACAATCATCATTTTAATTTCTCTTTCTTCTCTTTATTGACTTTCACACGCAACCATCATTTTCATTTCTCTTTCTTCTCTTTATCCTTTCTATTTTTTTTTACACAACTATCCACACTCTTTACTTCACTTCCCCACACAATCAGGACTTCTTCCTTTTTTCTTCTCTGTTTTAAGGATTTTCTAATCAAGAATTTATTTGTCCTTTTTTTCATTGAATTTACAGTAGAAAACGATATCGTTTCCCTACGTTGAATGGCAAAAAGGCTCCGTTTTATTCCTGTAATATGATAAAATGATTGAATATGTCTTATATATAATTATTGAAAAATATTAATAATCTGATTATTTATAATTAAGTCTTGATCAATGTATGTTACATTCATTCATTATCTTAATGTTTAAGATGATTTTTTTTTCCAAAAATATAAAAAATCAAGATAACAACTAAAATTGAGAGTCATAATTTTAAGGATTATCCTTCTTAACTCTGCATCTAGATAGTATTCCATTCTACCAAAAATCAAATGTTAGAACATTGACTCAGAAATAATGTAATAAAGCATATCAATGTCTATATCAATCTCTATTTACCTTGTTTAGTATTCTTCTACTTAAATTTATCTATAAAATTTTACATTTACCGATAAAAAAAGTATTGATATCCTCAACTCTAAAACTCATAAAGTAACAATAAAGACAAAGCTCGAGTAATTATCATTATATCTTTTCTATGCAATTATATACTCGATTACAGCATTTCACGTGCATCTTACTAGTTTTTAAAAAAAAATGTTACTCAGAAAAATAAATTAAAATAAAAATTTATTTGAAAAACGTTGTAAAAATTAAAAAAAAAAACTTTTCTTTTTGTTTTTAAAATTTATATTTATATATAATGTAAAATTACTCTTTTACTCCCTTTAAAATAGGGTAAAAAGAAGTTGTATAGTTGTGATGAAACATTATATAAATTGAGTGGTCATGGTAAAATAAAATTAAATTTGGTAGCCATTATAACATTAGGTATAGAGGAGCAGATATGGTAAAACAAAATCAAATAAATTAAGTAGTCATGTTGACACTAAGTATAAAGTTTGGTGGCCACTAATAGATTTACCGCCTTGAAATTAGATGATTCGAGTTTTAAATTGAGAAAAAAATAAATATTGGAGAAAGAAATGTCGTAAAATAATGAGATAATTATTGATGATTATTTAGTGTTATCGTGGTACATGATAAGTCTTGTCTAGATTAAAAGGTCTATTTCATTCCAATTGTAACTCTTGTTATGGACCCTATAAACATAAGGTATTGGTTCTTAATAATACACAAAAGTTTATTTACTTATTTATATTTTCTTCTCTTCTCATAACACGTTATTAGCACGATAATCTTATTACATGAAGCTTGCCCCCAACAACTTTTTTCTGATTCTCGATCAAATCTCTTTTTTTCTCTCTAGTATATATATATACATGCATCTCGAAAATTGTGAAAAATGGGCATTGAAAGTGGGTGAATTGACTGCGTGTGCGTATATTGTATTCAGGTTTCATGGCTAGACTTTTG